AATTTCAGAAATCGTACGAAAATCCGGCAGCGTAACGGCAGTATACAGAATTTACACAAAATTGACAGAATCAGAATTTTATCAAATTACCACAGAACATTCACAACAATAATATAAGACTTTTATTTTACTGCCACAACATTTTTAGACATCATAAAAAATTGCAGTCGAAAGAAAACATCGCAGAATCAAAATTACCCGGTCAAAATTCTCCAAAAAATAATCAAAATGTGCACACTCGGCACCTCAGAAACATATCAAAAGTTACGCGGTAAAAACTGAACCAATCGGAAAATACGGACGAAATTCGCTAACAAAAACGAAATCCGGACAGAAAAGTCGTTCAAACTTCACCGTTCTGAAAATTGAGAAAGGCAGAATGTTCCTTACCTTGTGTACAACACTTTCTCGAACAATGTCGTCGGACGAAAACTGCCCGGCGTCGCCTGAAAATTAACTTTTCCACATTAGCCCTCGACCTTCTCTCTCCTCAAAATGATTTTTATAAAATATTTGATTTTCTCTCTCTTTAAAATGAGCTGATTTCAGCTAAATAATACACTGATCGGCCCGGCCGATCGCACGATCGTCCTAGACGATCTAACCAAATTCCACATCGTCCTGCGACGATTTCGCAGGACGATAATTAATTTCCAGGACGATTTGCTCTCTAACTTTTGCCATACACTGATCGTTCTGGGACGATCCCAGATCGGCCTGGACGATCCCTATAGGAAATATTTCCTGTAACTTCTGGATAGAATCTGGAATAGAATTTACACTAATCGTCCCAGGACGATCCAGATCGGCCTGGACGATATGTACAGAACTGTTGTTACAACATTACTTAGGGTTAGGGCATCTTCAACCTAGCATCATTCGCTCGGTTGCAGTTCCGGCAAGCGTCCACCCAAACGACAAATAGAAACATATTTTTGTGTTTTATCTAGTGCGGCGTTAATATTTACGCCGTACTATTCACAGGAATGGTAACTAAACGTCATTCCCACGAAAAATTATTCTATGCGGATGTGGAACCCGTCCTAATTCTTAGGCCCACTGCTCGGTATCGCTGATGTTGCTTATTCTGGTTGGTATCTAGATGTAGAACTGCGTTCGTCGTCCGCACAGAATAATCTCTCACAACACTCTCCTTCATAAATATAAAAACATATATAAGAAAGAAATACACAAAATATTTTTTTTAGTATTAGAAATAGAGTTCAGTTAGAGATGAATTACTGTTTGATATGATTGTTATTGTATTTTTAAGTGAAAAATAGTTTTTTTCGGTTGTAGATGCTTTTAGAGGCTATTTGGTTTGAAATAAAATCAGTGTGAAAATTTCAATACATCGGCCTTCAAAATACTAGTATTTTGTTTGAAATAAAATAAATTTGCAGCAAATTGTTGAAGTATTTTATTTTATTCTCGATTTCGATATCGATATATTTATGATTTGACCGAGCTTTCAATACATTTTAAATTGCTTGAATTATTGCCATGCTTGTGGCCTGCTTACTCTAATTGAAGGTGATGCCCACCACAATCATCCTCTATCACCTCCCACTGACCGTCACCATCTATTATTGTCACTCTTGTTCGTCTCCTTAACCACTGTCCATATTCCCCACCCACTGTCGGTTGTGGCCTGCCACTGTCGCACCCGACCACCCCCCACTAGCCGCTATCACTTATCACTCTCCACTGGCCACTATTATCGTTGATCTTTATATTGCATTCATTTTATTTCAATCCAATATTTATTTATTTTATACTAAAACAAATAACTTTAAAATATTTAACATACATTATATTCCTTTTACACTAAATTCTTTTTATTTCATATTATTTTACAGTAAATAAAGTAATGTTTTAGATCAAACTTTTGATCTGCATGAAGATATTAGTACATAAATTTTTTTATTTTTAGCAAAAACTAAAAATATCTCATATAAATAAATTCCTTGAGAAAGAAATTAAATATACAATTTAAATAATAATAATAATAAAAATTAAATAAAGTGGCATCGACCAGTAAACTGTTTCTTGAAAGGACATGCATGGTTGAAAAGCTAAAAGCCTATAACTAAAAAGCAGAGCAATGGGTGGTGAACTGGCGATGATGATCATTTTCATTGTCCCCTTTGTCTCCATATGGATTTTAGAAAACTCTCTACACCTAATGACAAAATAAAGGACTTCCCCCACCACCTCATTATTGTCAAAAAGGGATATGAAAGCTCTATAAAGGAGAGCTATGATAAATTATTAGATGAATTTATTAAAGATCTATCATGTCTTCCTTAGACCATCTCCAACCGAACGACAAACGAGCGTTTGGCATCGTTCCGTCGCTCCAGCCGAACGCCAAAACGTCCGCCATTTGCTTGCGTCACCCACGCTATTTTCCTCTCTCAACTGGAAAAACGCGCGAAGGGAGAAGGATCATTACCTTCACGCAGAAGCAAAAAAATGGCGTTCGATTGGAGCAGCACCACGCCATTTTTGCTGTATTTTGACGTGAAAAATGGAGTTCTCCGTTGGAGATGCCCTAACTATTTTTTAAAGGAAAATTTTTAATACATAAAATAAAATTTCTCTACTAAAAAATTGTTTTCACAAATAGTAAAAAAAATCGTTCTAAACAAAGTCCTAGTATCTGCACATAACTGTATGCCCGCTTGCACATATAATTAGTTGTGATATTATTTTGGAAATAAAAGAAAGAGTAATAAGATGAAAGAATTTAGAAAATATGATTTTTTTTGTTACTTATGCTATTAATATATACCAAATATTGATAACTTGATGAAGTATTGTACTAGGAAAAAAGTTATGTTAATTTTTATAACATTAAATATGAATTTGTGCATTAATTTTTATTAAAAAGATCATCTCACTATGTAATCTATTGTGAATAGTTCATAATGCCTTATAATTTGATAATATTAAAAAGAATAGGAATTTTTACATATGTAGCATCTAAAATTATTAAAATTATATGTTTAACATCTAAACTTATATATTTATGAATATACCACATAAAATCTCATTTTCCTTCTATTCTATCACTTCATTGAAGCAACGACATACTTGTATTCAATGTGTAAGGATGCCATTAACAGGGAAGACAATCGTTGATAGTGATTTTTGACGGAAGGTTTAAACAGAATATTAGAATTGATTATAAGAGGGACTTTATGTGGTATATTAGTATATATAAAAGTTTAGTGTTAAATATGTATTTTCAATAATTTAAGATGTTATGCATGTAAAAATCCCAAAAGAATAAGCATCATGCTATACCATAATAGTTAGGGGTGTCAATTCGGGTCAACGGGACGGGTTCGGGTCGAACCCGAAACTGATTCGACACTATTCGGGTCAACCCGAACCCAGCCCGTTTTTAAAAATGGGTTAGGTTTCCAGGCCCGATCCGACACGAATGACACTGGGTTGACCCAAAATTGCTAGTTTTTAAGTCAATATCGGATCAATCTTCGATTTTTCGGTCAAAAACGGGTAAAAAATGGGTCAATCTCAAATTTTCGGGTCAAGTATGAGTTTTCGTGTCACTTTCGGATCATTTTCGAGTTGTTGGGTCAACCTGAACCCGACCCGATTTTTAAAACAGGTTGATTTGTTAAACCTAAACCCAGATTTTCTCGGGTCAGGTTCGTGTCGTGTCAAAAATTGACACCCCTACATCTAGTGGGATAAAAAATACACAATCATTTGAGTTAATTTTAGATCACTATTTTTTCTTCTTCTTTGAAGAGATTTTTGTTAAAAAAAATTTACTTTCCAAAAAAAAGTAAAAACCTTATCTTGCACGAAGTCCAAGTCCCCAAGAGATATCTCCCACAGTTCAAATGTATCAAATTATAGAAATAAATAAGAGAAACTTGAGCTACAATAATTCAGTAATTTTTAATTTTACAAATGCAATTAGTCAAAATTATATGCCCCACCGGTTTGAATAAATGGAAACAAGAGAACAAACTAAACTAATTAATACCAACGCGGAACAAAACTTTTCACATTTGTACTTTTATTAATTGCATGCAAACCTCCCCCCAAGCTTTTCAAAAAGTTGAGGATCTCCCCAAAAGATTAAAAAAAGCTATTAACTATTTAGTACTTTGATCCTTTGACAAAGGAACTTTTATTAGGTCCGGTATAAGGACGTTGAGGAACGTCAGGTCGGAGACAAAATACAGCCAAAAAACTCGGTATTTGCTCGGTATTACTAGGTATTATTTGATAATAACGAAGAATACCGCTCTTTGAAGATCAATACCGAGTTATACCGAGTTGTACCGAGTTTTTTCTAGGAAAAACTCGGTACAACTTTTGTATAACTCGGTATAGCTTGGTATAATTCGATATTGAGTCTTCACGTGATGGTATTCCTCGTTATTGTTTGGTATTGCTCGGTATTTCTCGTTTTTTGACGCGATTTGACCTCCGACCAGACGTTCCCCTACGTTCGGTCGGAGGACGTTATAATTGTGTTCCTTACCAAGTCACAAATCCCCTAATTTAAAAAAAAAAAAATTAAAAACTTTATTTTTCATGTGAAATTAATTCTTAATTATTAAAAATATCTATATATAATTAAAATAAATAAAGCTATGATTTCCAATCTGAAATTTTATGGCATTATACAATTTAACAATTTAGAACCAATTTTCCTCAGATGACAAGACTATCACTGGTGTCCATCTCCTCTCCCTCGCCTCCCTCTGCTTCTCCGGCAACGGCGGCCGGCCGCCACGCCGACGCCGTTAACAGCGACAAATCTTTCCAACCCAACTTCAATCTGCCCCCTTCCTCCACCAGCGTGTACCCCTTCCATGGCACGATCCCCAACAACAAGCTCGCCTGAGCTGCTGGACTTCCGGCGAGTGACACCGGCCGGAATCCCACTCGTCGGAGCTCATCCCCCCATTTCTCTACCCTCACTTCACCCGTCCTCTTCGGCCCGCCGATCGCCACTATGTTCCGAATCTCCCCACCCAAAACCCCTCTCTCAACTTCCCACCTCTCCTCCCCTCCTCCACCTCCATCTCCAATTGCATCGAACAGAGCAGAGTAGTAATGAAGAGCTTCGACGAACCTGCAGAGAAAGTCGCCTCCTTGGACGAGATCCTGCTCTACTACGGTGACGATACGGGGGCGGATGGATTTGAGGATTTGCGCGGCGGCGAGATCCGATCCGGTGATATCGTATAAACAATGTTGCGTCCAATGGATGACGATCGCTTCAGATGGGTCGCTGGGTCTGAAAGGGGTGAGATCGGTGAGGTCGCCGATTTTGCCTTCGATCGGGGTGAAATCGAATGGGATTCGAAATCCGGCGGCGAAATCGGCGAGGCTGCGGCCGGTGGAGTCGAGGATTTCGGCTGCGGGGCCGATGCCGGTGATGCGAATGGACTGAATGGGACGAGCGCGGGAGGAGAGCATGTGAAACAGTCCAGGCCATTGAAGGCCATGCATGATATCGAAGTCGAGGATGTGGACACGGTCGTGGGAAGCTAGGGCTTGAAAGATGGCTTGGTTGGATGTGAAGTGAGAGAATTTGAGAAGAGGAGAGATGGAGTTGAGGAATTGGAAGGAGCGGGAGATGCGGCGGGTTAGCGTTAGGGTTAGGGGCTTGAGGGAGAGAGGAGAGTACGTACCGAGGAAGGAGGAGAGGATGCGGGCATGAAGGGCGTCGGCGAAGTAGGCGGCGACGCGTTCAGGAGAGGATCCGAATGGAGAGGAGAGGGAGGAAATTTCGGGGAGGAGAGTTACCGCATAGGAGAGGTTGTCGAGGGCGATGGATTCGGCGCAGTGGAGGAGGAGGGTGAGCAGGCGGAGAATTCGGGATTCTTGTTCTGGCGAGGACGAGGTGGATGTCGAGGAGGAGGTGGCGCAGGCCTCGGCGAGGGGAGAGTAGTGGGGCTTTTTTCCGGCTGGGAGTTCGTCGGAGTTGGAGGAAGGGGAAGAACGTTTGGAAGGTTTCATGGTGATCGCCGGAGCCGCGTCGGAGGTGGAGTTTGCATTGATGGACGATCGAGGGAGCAGGCTTTGAAGCATGATGGGTGGGATATGGCGGTCCAGGATTTGGAAGTAGGGAAGGCTGGAAGAGAGAGAGAGAATGGATTCTCTGGAAGGAACAGGGAAGGAGGACAGTGAACAGAGTTTCAGAGTGTTTGAGGGTTGTTCTTATAATTAAATCTTTGATTTAGTATACGGATAGGGAGAGACAGTAAATTAAATAAAAAATATATAATTATTATTTTAAGATTTTTAAAATTTTTATTTTACTTTTTATTTAATTTTTTATAATCAAAGATCAAACAGTATTAGGAATAATTTAATTAAATAACTATTTAAAAATATTAAATATTAAAAATTAATATTTATATTTTTTGGGGGAAAAGTATTAAAATTCTATTCTAACAATTGCCCAAAAAGTATGAGACAATGAAAGGAGAATAGGACAAATTATTCTTTGCGTAGTCCGAGAGTCGTCCAGAGACTAATAAAAATGTGTCATGTCACCCCAAAAGTGTATCAAGCTTCGTGTCGAGCACGATATAAAGTGGTACCGAGCCACTCAGTGTCGTGCTCGATAACAAGCTATACCGGACGGTTGTCCCATCCGGTATCCGCATAGAATAGTCTCTCGGAGAATAGTCTGCTTCAATTAATTAGACTCCATCATTAATTATGTATGCATTTCACTTCTAAGAAATGGGATTAGGTTTACTAATGATGAGACTTTTGAGGTTAGAGTTGATAATTCAATTTTTTAATCACTTAATTATGAGAAGGTTAATTAATCCATCTTCAATTTTATTAAATTGTTCAAAAGTTAAGATGAAATTGGTAGAGAGCTTTCTCTCCATTCTCCGATATGTACATATTATATTTCATAATAATTAGAAATTTAGAATATTACATGTCAAATTTAATTTGAGCGAAAACAATTTATTTTTAATTAATTTTTTAGTTAATTTTACTTAAATTAAAAATATATATGGGAACGGGTATCCACCCGTTGTCAATCTCGAAAGGGCGCTTGGCGGCATGATTAATCCTCGACAGACCTAGAAGATGCACCCACCCAGAAATCTCCTAGCCCGCACTTAAATGTGCTGCACTTAAGAGGCGCTACTACTAGAGAAGAATCGAGCACGGTTGGGGGGTTCCCAACTGTACTCGCCACCAACGAAACTAATAAATGGTGGATAATTAAATATAAATTAACTAATAATCATTCTATAAATGTGTATGTAACATTTATTTATAAAGTCTATATTATGACATATAATATTAAACTAAATATTAAATAAAGTAAGCTGTCAACTCCTGATAAATAAATCTTAAAATGACACCGTATTAGCATCAGGCGTGTGTCACAAGCAAGATAATTTGAGCTTTGGGCTTCATTCAAATAAAGCTGGAGCCAACTCTAATTCAGTTAAATAATTACTTTAAAAAATAATATATTTTTTATTTATTTTTAAACATTTTTTATAATAATAATAATAAAAAAATAATAATATTTTAGAAAACATTAAGAAAGCCATTCCAAACCAAAAATAAGTCTAATAAAAAAAATATTTTTCATCCTTTCTAATTAACTCTTTTTAGGTATATCTCTACCTTTTGAGTTTAAATATTAAAATATCAAATATGAACATATGCTTAAATCTACATATCCACCCATTTATTTGATATTTTCATAATGCATATATCTTTAATATTATATTTAATTTTGAAAGTTATAGAAAATACAAAACCTATTTTATTAACATGGAATAAACCACCAAACAAATAATTAATCCATAATTAGAAACATATTTTATTGAGTTTCTAACGAGTAAACTTATTGACAAACATAAATGACAAAGTTAATTAATATTCAATTTTCGCTTTATTATATGATATAAATTAAAAAATTATTTTATCTCATAAATAAATAAATAGAAGAATATTATACAAATGAATGTTAAATTATTCATCTGAAAACAGTGAACAAAAATCTTATCCTTGTATTTTGCCAAATTTTCAGTCATTATGGGCTTCAGAGTCCTTAATTATGCTTTAGGATTAGTGTACTGTATAGATGATTAATATTACACTCATCTTAACACAAATCTAAAAGCTTTTAAATCCACACTAACTATATTTTTAGTGAGAATATTCTAAAATAAAATATTATTCATATAGCCTATTAGGGGTGTAATTGTGTAAATGAATCAAGCCGAGTTCGAGTCACCTCTAGCTTGAACTTGAGCTTGATTAATTAGTTGAGTTTGAGCTTGAGCTCGAGCTTTATTCTAAGAGTTCGAGCCGACTTATTTATTATAATTCAAGCAAATATATTAACAAAATGAGAAATTATAAGTAAAATAATAAATAATCACTTAACATAAGAAAATAATATAGAATTTTTAAATATTTTTTAGTAACATTATAACTAAATCTGGAATGATAATACATTAAAGGGCATTTTAATTTAATATTTTTAAATTAGCTTGTGCCAACTCACGAGCTAACGAGGAGACAGATCATGTTCAAGCTCGACTCGTTAGCTCATTTATCGAGTTGTGCTTGATCTGACTCATGAGTCAGGATTCACTTACACATCTATAGCCGAGCATGCAGTGATCTCAAATATTTCGTAGACGCACTCGCCAATCATCACTTACCAAATGGTGAATAAGCAACACAAAACGTGCTACTTAGTTAAATATTTTTAAAATAAGGCTAAGACTTTAATTTAGACGGCTTTTTTACTTCTAATTAAAGTAGATTTTTAGTTTCATATTAAAATGCTATTTTAAGAAGTAGTAAAAATGTTGTTTATTATGTGTGGAGTCCAAACCCAAAGAACCATTCGGTTTTGTGACTGTGAACAATAAAAACACGTAAAAAGCACAACGGCTTTGTGACTATATTTTTATTATATGGATCCAAAATATAAACGTAATAATCTCTCTCCAAAACGGCAAATTATTACGTTCAATAATCCGGACACCAATCCAGACGCGCCATATCACCCAAATACATCGGGACCCAGTGTATTCGGGTGATGTGACGCATCTGAAATAGGTGTCCGGACGTCCGATGACCAGACGTAATAATTCGCCCCCCAAAACAAGCCTCACACATGAAGAGGAAAACCAGACGCTACCGTGGAAGAGCGGCGTTAGCGTCGGGTAGCTGCCGTCCCGTTTGTCGCTTGCTTGGATTTATTCACGTTTGGTAGCTTTACAGGAAGATTAATAATTCGGCGCCAGTTTGGATTCATTTCCGTCAGCTCTTTTTTTATTTTTATTTTTTATTTTTTTAATGTGATTCATTCGATTTATTTAATTAATTTGGGATATTCTGCAATTGCTTCGAATCTAATTTTATCATATTCAAATTTGTTAATTTTTTAACTAGCTGAATTTGAAATTAGTTCGAATTTTAAATTTTTATGTATTAAATTTTTATTGAATTTGTGTTATAATTAAACTTTAAGTAAATATAATAAATTATATATTTAATGCTAATAAATTTTATATATGATCTTGAAATGTGATTAAACAGTGGCTTATTGGCTTGGTTGGACATGATTTTGAATGCATATTTAAATTAAAAACTATCATAAATAAAATTAGGATTATCCAATTTCAAAAAATTTTGAGCTGAACTGATTAACTAAAAAAACTAACCCACAAAAAAAATTAGTCTGATTCAAATTTGAACGAGCTTCGATGAAGAGGTTGAAATCAAATAAAAAATTAGGGCAAAATATTTGGAGGATCACGTGACCTCTAAATCTTGCACGCTTGCTATCAAATCGAGAGTCTCAATAAGATGAATAAAAGAAGCCCAAAATCGTCAAATTTCGACATACTTAGGGCTCATAAATGTAGAGAGAAAATTCTATTATTCAGAACATTAATGTAGCGAATGAATGTTCCAGATTTTGGCCATAGTTACGAAGAATCTTAAAGCTTAACCTAAGCAACCCCATCAAATTACTTTGATATTGTTGTCAGAGGACCAATACCGAACCACCTCTATCGGACCATAATCATTCGACTATCGTCATTGGACCATCGTCCGACTAGAATCCTCTAACCATCATCGCCCAAATTAGTGTATCAAAATTTTTAGGTTGAATATTATATTATAAAATCAGACTTTAATTTGAGCTAAACTTAAAATGTAAAAAATGTCATCATATTAAATAAAAATATAAAGAACTTAATTTGTATGAATGTAGCTTGTTCATATTGTAAGTTTGTGGCATGGATTGATATATGAAAATTAAGAAGTAATGTCCCAAATTGAAAAAAAACAAAATAATTATTTTTTGCACTAATTAAAGACCAATCAATTGATAGTTGATGAACATTTGTAGCTGGCCCTTTGTCTTGATTGGTTAAAGACAAATGATTGAATTTGAATCATTGGTGTTTTATGCTAATATGTTTGGGTAGGTGAGCAAAATAAACTTTATGTTGTAAAATTTGCTCAATTTAATTTCATTAAATGGCCTTTTAATTTGAATTAAAAAGCCGTTTCAAATATTCTAAATACATGAATTTTAAGAATATTGATTCTTAGTTTGAAATAAAATAAATGTAGGATAAAATTTTGAAGTATTTGAAATTCACCATATAATTTAATTTAAGTGTATTTAAAAATATTTTTATTTGACCAGTTTTTAAATACATCGTAGTTTTTTTTTTCAATTTAATTTCCACCACAGCTGTCAAAGCTCGCATCTGCCGCCACGCACCATTGTTGGATGGCACTGAACTTATAGCCGGCTGTAAGCTGCCACCGTCACCCGCTACCATCGCTGACACCACTGCCACCAACACATGCAAAAATTCAAACTTTTGTTTATTCATTTACTTAATTTTCTCAATATATATACAAATGAAAACAAAATGTATCAGGATATATGAATAAAAATAGATAAATACTAAAAAATTTATTCATAATATTTTGTTTTTATTTTTATTTAATTACCCTTCACTTTTAAATAAATCTGTCTTTCCACTCTAACAATTCTCATGTAATTTTTTTGCCACATACAAATATCTATCTCCTCTTCGATTGGGTGAAATTTACTAAATCTTCATTTGGCAACGGCTTTCTTAATGTTTTCTAAAACAACTTTTTAGTACAAAAATTTCGAGTTAGAA